TAAATAAATTTACTTATTTATAAATTTGTAACAAGTGTATGAGTAATAGTGCTACACGGCGGCACTCTCAAATCAGTGAAAATGGCCTAAACAGCTATGTAATGCTTACTTCAGACGACATTAAAATAAATAACCATCCAACAGCCAAACATCCAAACAAAACAATGTCCGAAGCAAATATAGCAAAAATAGCTAGTGAAATTGCCACAGCCAATAAAATGAAACTAAATAATAACTCATCACAATCGCTAGGAAATGATCAACCTACGAACTCGATGCAGTCCCTTAAGATTAATGAGCTTGAAGACAGCATAAAACATCTTACAGAAAAGATCAAGTCATTAGAAAAAGGTTGCGAATCTCTACTAAGAGAAAATGAAAAGCTTAAAGCTGAAAAAAATATACCAATTCCTGTTAAAAAGAAAACCAGTACTAGTGCTACAATTATAAACGCAGTACATAAAAAAGTTGCGAGTAACAGTAATTCACCCCAAAACGGTAAACGTGGGCGTTCTAGTCCTGTAAATGCACAGCGAAAAAATAAACAAAAAAAGCTTGACAGCTACTGGCTTGCAACACCTAACCGTTTTGAGGTTCTAGACAACCCTGACGCTGATAATCAGGAAGAAACATCAGAACAAGCGGAATTAATTAAAGAAAGTAAAATTCCTAAACCACCACCAATATTTGTAGCGGGTGTTGGTAACATTCAACCATTGCGGGCACTGCTAAATGATGTGGCTCCAAATGAGTTTGTACTCAAAATTTTAGGTAATAATGAAGTCAAAATACAGCCCAACACAGCGGATATCTACTCAAAAGTTACCAAAGCTCTTGCAGAAAAGCAGACGGAATTTCATACTTACAAACTAAAGCAAGAGAGAAGCTTTAATGTAGTGTTGAGGGGCCTACATCCATCAATACCTATTGATGAAATCAAACAAGATTTAATTAATTTAGGCCATGAAGTAGTCAATATCAGTAACATTCGACATCGTGTTACAAAAAAACCACTTCCTCTGTTTTTCGTTGGACTAAAGCCCTCAGACAAGGTGAAAACAATTTACAACTGTACTGACTTGCTGCACACAAAAATTTCCATTGAAGCGCCTAAAAAGAAGCGCGAATTGCCGCAATGCACTCGGTGCCAACGATATGGTCATACAAAACATTTTTGTAATCATATGCCACGCTGTGTTAAATGCCCTGAAAACCACTTATCCTCAGATTGCCCACGCAAATCCCCCGGTAATGATGTATGGTGTGTTCTTTGTGAAGGTAATCACCCGGCTAACTATAAAGGGTGCACAGTTTACAAACAACTCCAGAAAAAAGCGTTTCCAGCCCTACGTAGAAAAATAACAACTGATACAGAAAGGCAACAGAACACCAAATTGAATGTAACAAGCCAAACGTATGCAAATGTTGTTAAATCTAACAATATAAACACTCAAGAGCACGTAAACTCAGCTCAGCAAAACGATTTTCCTGAGCTTAAATCAATGCTCAAAACGGTTATGGAACAAATGAGCTCTATGCTCAACCTCCTAACCGCATTTGTCGCTAATACATCCAAATAATGAGTAGTCTAAATATAGCTATTTGGAACGCTAACGGGCTGACCCAACACATTTGCGAAATTAAGACTTTTCTTCTTGACAAAAACATTGATGTTATGCTTATTAGTGAAACTCACTTTACATCAAGAAGTTATCTGAGGCTTCCATATTACACAATGTACAACGCAAACCATCCTTCTGGTAACGCCCGTGGTGGCGCAGCAATAATCATAAAAAATAATATTGACCACTCATTTCTCACCAATCATAATGAAGACTATCTACAATCAACAGCCATATCAGTACGAGATATATATGGTGAAATAACTATTGCCTCTATATACTGTCCACCTAATCAACCAATTAAAAGTCATCAATTCGCAAATTATTTCAAAACGCTCGGGCCCAATTTCGTAGCAGCAGGTGACTTTAACGCCAAGCATACTCATTGGGGCTCAAGATTAATAACACCCAGAGGACGCGAGCTATTAAAAACGATACAAGAAAGCAACCTATTTCACCTTTCTACTGGCGAACCCACTTACTGGCCGACAGATCTAAATAAAACACCAGATGTCATTGACTTTTGCATTTGTAAGGGTGTACCCATAAATAATCTAACCTTGCGGTCGTCGTTAGATCTTTCGTCTGACCACTCTCCTCTTCTGTTAGAAATTCATTCGAATATCGTTTTAAAAACTCCAGAACTTAGACTTCACAACAAAAGAACTGATTGGGCTATTTTCCGTAGTTACATTAGCGAACACCTCTCGACACATATTCCTCTTAAAACTAATCATGACATTGAAGCCGCAGTAGAACAATTCAACAAAATTGTACAAAAGGCAGCTTGGTCTGCAACTCCGTCTACACAGAATTGTAGGACTGTACATCTAGACAAGGATATCAAAGAACAACTACTTGAAAAACGTAAATTACGTAGGGTTTGGCAGATGACGAGAGATCCTAACGATAAGAGGCGCCTGAATGTAGCCACTAAAAAACTCAAAATAAATCTAGAGGCAAGAAAAAATGCAAGCATTGCAACTTACTTAGCAAGCTTGTCTTCCTCTGAGGCCACTGAGTACTCCTTGTGGAAAGCCACACGCATACTTAATGCACCAACATCGCATATACCACCAATAAAGATGAGTAATGGGCAATGGGCTAAAACTGATGCTGATAAAGCGAAAACTTTTGCAGTGCATCTTGGTAAAGTCTTTCAGCCACGCTGCTCAAAAAATAATCTGAAAGACTCTGAAGTTGAAGCTTTTCTTCACACACCGCATCAATTAGACTTTCCTATTCCTAGGTCTTTGACTCGTGAATTAAAGTGGGTCATAAAAAACAAAATTAAAACCAGAAAAGCTCCAGGATATGATCTGATAACCGGAAAGGTGCTACATGAGCTACCAGATGTGGGTTTTAAATTCATAAACCAATTGTTCAATGCAATTTGCACCTGTGAACACTACCCAGCTCAATGGAAAGTCGCTCAAATTATATTAATTCCAAAACCCGGTAAGCCCGTCGAACTTGCAACATCTTACAGACCGATCAGCTTACTTCCTGTGTTGTCAAAAGTATTTGAGAGAGTATTCCTAAAACGTCTAAAGCCAGTTATCGAAAATAGATGTCTGATTCCCAACCACCAATTCGGGTTTCGCGAACATCACTCTACTATTGAACAAGTAAATAGAGTATACAACTTTGCAAGACTTGCATTGGAAAATAAAGAATACTGCACAGCAGCCTTTATCGACATAACACAAGCATTCGATAAAGTATGGCACACTGGACTTCTCTACAAATTAAAGTTACAACTCCCGCATAGCTACTTCTCCGTCTTAAAATCATATATACTAGATCGGCACTTTATGGTTAAAATGAATAGCTGTCACACTGAACTTTTTCAAATAGAGGCTGGAGTTCCCCAAGGAAGTGTGTTGGGTCCTACTCTATATACTCTGTTCACAGCAGATCTCCCACTCAGCGATAAAACATACACTGCAACATTTGCGGATGATACTGTAGTGATGGCGAAACACGCAGATCCTGTAGTAGCTTCACAACTTTTGCAAAGTAATCTGAACGATGTCAACGCATGGCTAGACATTTGGCACATTGAAGCTAACGATAACAAATCAGTTCAAACTACTTTTACACTCCGCCACGGTACCTGCCCTTCCGTTAGACTGAATGGCCGTGAATTGCCGCAAGCTGAAAACGCCAAATATCTAGGTGTACATTTTGATCGCCGTCTAAATTGGCGTCACCACATCTTTACAAAACGGAAGCAGTTAGGACTAAAGCTACGCTCACTTTACTGGCTACTTAATCCCAAATCCAAATTATCGCTACAAAATAAAATACTTTTATACAAGGTCGTCTTAAAGCCAATCTGGACGTACGGTATACCCATCTGGGGTATAGCAGCGAAGTCAAACCTAGATATGATTCAGAGGTTTCAATCAAAAATACTACGTATCTGCGCCAACGCCCCATGGTTTATCCCGAATAACGTCCTACATCATGATCTTGGCATCCCTACTGTGTACGAGTCAATACAGCAGATAAGCAGCAACTATCACTCACGACTGGTAGTTCATCCTAACCCCCTTGCCGCAGGCCTAACGAGGGATGCTTTTAACATTCGTAGATTAATACGCTATGCAACTTCGGATTTGCCGAGCAGATTCTAAAAATTGTAATTCTTCATAAGGCGGTGATTACCACTGGGTAGTCCCGTACATGCCAATCTTATATTGTTATTGCCATAAGTAGTACTTATTATTCATGAATAGAATAGATTGTATTTAATAAAATGAAGTTTAAAAAAAAAAAAAAAAAAAAAAAAATATTGTTATTTTAATATTATTTTATTAATAATAAATTGTTATTATGACCAATACTCAACACTTTTTTATTAATACTCTGGCCTTAGGTCGTTAATTTAACACATAAAAATTACACTTATAAATTTGTGTTAAATATTTAATTGTATTTCAGTTTTTATAAAAACTTATTTGTATTACAAATATTTGGGTCTACTTCGTAGACCATCTTCAATGCCCAACGAGGAAGAAAAACCTTAAAAATAAACAATAATTTTATTAATAAAAAAGCGCAAATTTCCACATCACCCCTGAGATATTGCACATAATGCGTTAACCAAATTCTTTTATATGGCTGGTTCCCCAGTAGTCCTATCCACCATAAAAAGCTTACATTAATTCTATTCTATGTATTAAAATTATTAATTGCATCCGCTAACAGTTTTATAACATCTGTATGCTCTTTAGTGGCCTGCACGCGTTCGTCCGCAATCTCCTTCTCTTGTTTGAGCTTTCTTTCCTCCAGCTCAAGTCGACGCTCCTCAAGCCTCAACCTTTTCTCCTCTAACTCGACGAACTTTTGGTTGGTCTGTTCTAATGAGGGATTTCACTTTCGTTGCTTGGCTGGACGAATAAGTCGAATAGGCACACAACCCTCATCGTTACCCCCAACAGATGGACCTGAACCGCTTGAAAGTTCCTTTCCCTCGTCAAGGCACTTAAATTAATCATTTATTAGATTAATAATTAAAAAATATAAGAAAAATAAAAGCGATAATAAGGCATTCGCCTCCAATACTTACCTCTAAATCATAACAACCTGAAATGTCACTTTCAAAGTGCATTGCTGGCTCGCAGACATCTTCCGTGCCTTGCACCGCTACTGGATGCATTACTGCAATAATCCGTTCATCTAGATCAGTTAAATCCTTAATGCCAACGGACGCATTTCCAGTCAGTCCCATTGCATGTTTATAGTCCTGTACTTTCTTCTTGCTTTTGGATCTAAAATTAAACAATGGAGTTTTTTTATTTACAATTTTTCAATATAGTTTCTACAACTATAAAATTAAAAGCAACGATGTTATTTTACATGTTTTTATGTATAATTCTTTTATATATATATATATATACATATATTATTAACTGTTAATATATCTTATTTTAATTTTTAACTACTTACTTCATGTTGACCCATGCCTTCTTCCAACCATTGGCATCTTTAACTGCTCCACCAACGGCATTTAAAATAGCAGCTAGAGAGCTCCACTGTTCATTAAGACTTCGCGCACCATGATCTGACACAAATCTGTCATGAGCGAAATCTTTATGCTCTTCCATATGCTGGACCAGCACTTGTTTCTGCTCCTTGCTTATTCGTTTTGACTTTAAGTCCACGAATTCCATCATAAATATCTAAAAATTAAATAATAAATAAAATATATTAAATCTTATATGTATTAATATGTATATAATTATTCATTTTGTTCACTGTTTCACTTGGAATTCATTTATTTTTGGTACAAAAATAAAAATATGAAAAATAAAATACATTTGTTTACATTTGCTGAACACCAAACGCACTCTCACTATATTACTGCCACAAAATTTTTGTAATATTAATTTTTTTTTTCATTTTACTTTAAATGCAAAATTTATTTCTATCACAATTACTTTATTAATAAATAAATATGAATATTATACTAAATACATACAAAATAATTGCTCAATTTGTTTAAAAAATAATATTTTCACTTTAAGCGACAGCAAAAACCTAGTCGCCAAAAACAATCAAATTAGGAGAAATTTTAGTCGTTTTTAACGAAATTTAGCGATTACCAATTTAGCAGAATACGAAATTTGGCGATTTAGCGATTTATCCGGAAAAATCAGCTGTTTTTGAAAGTTGAGAAAATTAGCGAATAGAAATTAAGCGCAACGAGTTAGCAGAATCGCAAAAATCGCTAAAATGCATTTAAAGAATTTTAGCGATGAAGTTTTAGCGATAGCGATTAGTGGAATCGGCCTGCTGGTTTGTTACAGAAAACATACAAAGCATGCTGAGAGTATTTGTTAACCGCTGTCTCCGCAGAATTTTACGTATCTTCTGGCCAAACAGAATATCAAATCATGATCTTTGGATCAAAACAAATGTTAGAGATGTCAATCTTGAAATTCGTAAAAGAAAATTTGGATGGATCGGGCATATACTTCGAAAAGCTCCCACCGAAATTTGTCAACAGGCGTTGGTATACAACCCGTAAGTTAGGAGAGGAAAAGGTCGTCCAAAAACAATATGGAGAAGGTCAACGTTGAATGAAATAAACACCATTTTGCAGGAAATCTTTTAACGAACTTAGAGCAATAGCTCGGCAGCGTAATAACTGGAAAGCATTTGTAAATTCTATAATATAAATTTGATGTACTTAAAATGTTCTTTGTAATTAAACTAAATTTATAATTTTGTTAAAATATAAATATGTCCTAATAATAAAGGTGGAAATGTTAAAATTCTTCCAAATGACTATGTAACCATCTTAGAAAGCCACATTACAGATCGAAACTTTTATGTCAAATATAAAAACAATTACTATTCAATCAAGAAAGCCAATGCTGGAATTCTCAGGGAAGTGTTTTAGGCCCGCTACTATACCAGATTTAAACAGCAGACATGCATTGCGGAAAATTACAATGCAATGACAGCAACTTTTGCGAATGGCACAATATTTTCGGCACATAAAAACATCTCTAATGTAACCGAACAACTACATTGAACTTTAAACAAAACAAAAGACTGGTTCGACAAATGGAAAATTAAAATTAATGGAGACAAAACATCGCAAGTCATTTTCACAGCACAACGAAAATTCTCGTCCATACCGATAATACTGAATAATACGCAGATCCCATTTAAATATTAGTTAAATACCTGGGCATACATCTCGATAACAAATTTGCACATAATTAAAAAGAATAAGTGAATGAAAGAAAAATGCATTGTTTTTCTCAACTGGCTTCTAAGCAAAAAATTTAAAATCTAAGAAATAAAATACTTTTGTATAATGCAATTATTAAGCCCATTTGGACTTATGGTAGCCAAATTAGGGGAACATCAAAAAAAATCCACCAGCGCCAAGATAGCAACGATGCTAAGAGGTCCAAACCAGAAATTTTTAAACTTCATTTTATTAAATACAATCTATTCTATTCATGAATAATAAGTACTACTTATGGCAATAACAATATATGATTGGCATGTACGGGACTACCCAGTGGTAATCACCGCCTTATGAAGAATTACAATTTCTAGAATCTGTTCGGCAAATCAGAAGTTGCGAAGCGTAGTAATCTACGAATGTTAAAAGTATCCCTCGTTAGGCCTGCGGCAAGGGGGTTAGGATGAACTACCAGTCGTGAGTGATAGTTGCTGCTTATCTGCTGTATTGACTCGTACATAGTACGGATGCCAAAATCATGATTAAGACGTTATTCGGGATAAACCATGGGGCGTCGGCGCAGATACGTAGTATTTTTGATTGAAACCTCTGAATCATATCTAGGTTTGACTTTGCTGCTATACCCCAGATGGGTATACCGTACGTCCAGATTGGCTTGAAGACGACCTTGTATAAAAGTATTTTATTTTGTAGCGATAATTTGGATTTGGGATTAAGTAGCCAGTAAAGTGAGCGTAACTTTAGTCCTAACTGCTTCCGTTTTGTAAAGATGTGGCGACGCCAATTTAGACGACGATCAAAATGTACACCTAGATATTTGGCGTTTTCAGCTTGCGGCAATTCACGGCCATTCAGTCTACCGGAAGGGCAGGTACCGTGGCGGAGTGTAAAAGTAGTTTGAACTGATTTGTTATCGTTAGCTTCAATGTGCCAAATGTCTAGCCATGCGTTGACATCGTTCAGATTACTTTGCAAAAGTTGTGAAGCTACAACAGGATTTGCGTGTTTCGCCATCACTACAGTATCATCCGCAAATGTTGCAGTGTATGTTTTAGCGCTGAGTGGGAGATCTGCTGTGAACAGAGTATATAGAGTAGGACCCAACACACTTCCTTGGGGAACTCCAGCCTCTATTTGAAAAAGTTCAGTGTGACAGCTATTCATTTTAACCATAAAGTGCCGATCTAGTATATATGATTTTAAGACGGAGAAGTAGCTATGCGGGAGTTGTAACTTTAATTTGTAGAGAAGTCCAGTGTGCCATACTTTATTGAATGCTTGTGTTATGTCGATAAAGGCTGCTGTGCAGTATTCTTTATTTTCCAATGCAAGTCTTGCAAAGTTGTATACTCTATTTACTTGTTCAATAGTAGAGTGATGTTCGTGAAACCCGAATTGGTGGTTGGGAATCAGATATCTATTTTCGATAATTGGCTTTAGACGTTTTAGGAATACTCTCTCAAATACTTTTGATAACACAGGAAGTAAGCTGATCGGTCTGTAAGATGTTGCAAGTTCGATAGGCTTACCGGGCTTTGGAATTAATATAATTTGAGCGACTTTTCATTGAGCTGGGTAGTGTTCACAGGTGCAAATTGCATTGAACAATTGGTTTATGAATTTAAAACCCACATCTGGTAGCTCATGTAGCACCTTTCCGGTTATCAGGTCATATCCTGGAGCTTTTCTGGTTTTAATTTTGTTTTTTATGACCCACTTTAATTCACGAGTCAAAGACCTAGGAATAGGAAAGTCTAATTGATGCGGTGTGTGAAGAAAAGCTTCAACTTCAGAGTCTTTCAGATTATTTTTAGAGCAGCGTGGCTGAAAGACTTTACCAAGATACACTGCAAAAGTTTTCGCTTTATCAGCATCAGTTTTAGCCCATTGCCCATTACTCATCTTTATTGGTGGTATATGCGATGTTGGTGCATTAAGTATGCGTGTGGCTTTCCACAAGGAGTACTCAGTGGCCTCAGAGGGAGACAAGCTTGCTAAGTAAGTTGCAATGCTTGCATTTTTTCTTGCCTCTAGATTTACTTTGAGTTTTTTAGTGGCTACATTCAGGCGCCTCTTATCGTTAGGATCTCTCGTCATCTGCCAAACCCTACGTAATTTACGTTTTTCAAGTAGTTGTTCTTTGATATCCTTGTCTAGATGTACAGTCCTACAATTCTGTGTAGACGAAATTGCAGACCAAGCTGCCTTTTGTACAATTTTGTTGAATTGTTCTACTGCGGCTTCAATGTCATGATTAGTTTTAAGAGGAATATGTGTCGAGAGGTGTTCGCTAATGTAACTACGGAAAATAGCCCAATCAGTTCTTTTGTTGTGAAGTCTTAGTTCTGGAGTTTTTAGGACGATATTCGAATGAATTTCTAACAGAAGAGGAGAGTGGTCAGACGAAAGATCTAATGACGACCGCAAGGTCAGATTATTTATGGGTACGCCCTTGCAAATGCAAAAGTCAATGACATCTGGTGTTTTATTTAGATCTGTCGGGCAGTAAGTGGGTTCACCAGTAGATAGGTGAAATAGGTTGCTTTCTTGTATCGTTTTTAATAGCTCGCGTCCTCTGGGTGTTATTAATCTTGAGCCCCAATGAGTATGCTTGGCGTTAAAGTCACCTGCTGCTACGAAATTGGGCCCGAGCGTTTTGAAATAATTTGCGAATTGATGACTTTTAATTGGTTGATTAGGTGGACAGTATATAGAGGCAATAGTTATTTCACCATATATATCTCGTACTGATATGGCTGTTGATTGCAGATAGTCTTCATTGTGATTGGTGAGAAATGAGTGGTCAACATTATTTTTTATGATTATTGCTGCGCCACCACGGGCGTTACCAGAAGGATGGTTTGCGTTGTACATTGTGTAATATGGAAGCCTCAGATAACTTCTTGATGTAAAGTGAGTTTCACTAATAAGCATAACATCAATGTTTTTGTCAAGAAGAAAAGTCTTAATTTCGAAAATGTGTTGGGTCAGCCCGTTAGCGTTTCAAATAGCTATCTTTAGACTACTCATTATTTGGATGTATTAGCGACAAATGCGGTTAGGAGGTTGAGCATAGAGCTCATTTGTTCCATAACCGTTTTGAGCATTGATTTAAGCTCAGGAAAATCGTTTTGCTGAGCTGAGTTTACGTGCTCTTGATTGTTTATATTGTTAGATTTAACAACATTTGCATACGTTTGGCTTGTTATATTCAATTTGGTGTTCTGTTGCCTTTCTGTATCAGTTGTTATTTTTCTACGTAGGGCTGGAAACGCTTTTTTCTGGAGTTGTTTGTAGACTGTGCACCCTTTATAGTTAGCTGGGTGATTACCTTCACAAAGAACACACCATACAACATTACCGGGGGATTTGCGAGGACAATCTGAGGATAAGTGGTTTTCAGGGCATTTAACACAGCGTGGCATACGATTACAAAAATGTTTTATATGACCACATCGTTGGCACCGAGTGCATTGCGGGAATTCGCGCTTCTTTTTAGGCGCTTCGATGGAAATTTTTGTGTGCAGCAAGTCAGTACAGTTGTAAATTGTTTTCACCTTGTCTGAGGGCTTTAGTCCAACGAAAAACAGAGGAAGTGGTTTTTTTGTTACACGATGTCGAATGTTACTGATATTGACTACTTCATGGCCTAAATTAATTAAATCTTGTTTGATTTCATCAATAGGTATTGATGGATGTAGGCCCCTCAACACTATATTAAAGCTTCTATCTTGCTTTAATTTGTAAGTATGAAATTCCGTCTGCTTTTCTGCAAGAGCTTTGGTAACTTTTGAGTAGATATCCGCTGTGTTGGGCTGTATTTTGACTTCATTATTACCTACAATTTTGAGTACAAACTCATTTGGAGCCACATCATTTAGCAGTGTCCGCAATGGTTGAATGTTACCAACACCCGCTACAAATATTGGTGGTGGTTTAGGAATTTTACTTTCTTTAATTAATTCCGCATGTTCTGATGTTTCTTCCTGATTATCAGCGTCAGGGTTGTCTAGAACCTCAAAACGGTTAGATGTTGCAAGCCAGTAGCTGTCAAGCTTTTTTTTGTTTATTTTTTTCGCTGTGCATTTACAGGACTAGAACGCCCACGTTTACCGTTTTGGGGTGAATTACTGTTACTAGCAACTTTCTTATGTACTGCGTTTGTAATTGTAGCACTAGTACTGGTTTTCTTTTTAACAGAAATTGGTATATTTTTATCAGCTTTAAGCTTTTCATTTTCTCTTAGTAGAGATTCACAACCTTTTTCTAATGACTTGATCTTTTCTGTAAGATGTTTTATGCTGTCTTCAAGCTCATTAATCTTACGGGACTGCATCGAGTTCGTAGGTTGATTATTTCCTAGCGATTGAGATGAGTTATTATTTAGTTTAATTTTATTGGCTGTGGCAATTTCACTAGCTATTTTTGCTATATTTGCTTCGGACATTGTTTTGTTTAGTTGTTTGGCTGTTGGATGGTTATTTATTTTAATATCATCTGAAGTAAGCATTACATAGCTGTTTAGGCCATTTTCACTGATTTGAGAGTGCCGCCGTGTAGCACTATTACTCATACACTTGTTTTAAAATATAATTACAGTATGTTTTTATGATTATTTTTAATTATTTATGTTTTAAATTTTTAAATAAAATTATTAAAGTTTATATACGTTTCATAAAGATAATTAAAAACATGCGCTGTGGCAACACCACATTTACAATTTATTACTTTCGTTAAGAAAGCATATGCTGTCTCTATCAGCTGTTTTTGACAAAACACAAATTTTTGTTTTTGTTTATTTTGCGAAATTACAATTGCAATTGCAATAAATAAATAAATAATTATAATGGTGATTAAAAAATTAAATAAAATAAAAATTACAATATATCCAACTGAATTGTGTTGTGCAATGTTGTGTTTATATATGCACAAAAGCGCACTGGTATATTTAAACACAAGCATACTGGTATAGAAATGGAACACAAAATATTTCTAAAGGCCCAGTTAGACAGTAGGTAACATAAGAAATTAAGGAGAAACGAAATGAAAATTTCGCTTTAAATTAAGGCGGTGTTGGGTTAGCAAGCAGCTGATTTTGTTTACATTTAAACATGTAAACAAAATATTTTCAAAAGTTCCAGTCGGTAGTTGTTTGTCCACAAGTGCAGTGAAATTCTATATTATCTTTGTTTAAAGCGAAATAATTGAAAATAGTTTTAGTATATTATTAACAAATACGCAAAAGCAGGTGGCGAGTTCGTCCTATTAATGTGGATCGTGCTCTACATGGTTATTACCGGAAAACGTTTTAGCCATAAAAGATAACGAACAAATTTTTCGTCATACGCAGATGTCTAAAGAAATATATACTTTGTTATTGAAGTTAATAGCTCCTTCTGCGACAAAATTTGGACAGCAAATAAACGGTGATGAACGTTTATCACTTACTCTTTTGTAAGTTACATATACTGTTTTATTAGTAATTTTAGTAAAAATAACACGAACATTTTTTTAAAGGTATTTGGCACATGGCGTCCCTTTACAGAGTTTAGCATGAAGCTATAAATTGGGAAGAACAACAGTTAGAAACACCATGTAGGAAATGTGTGATATCATTTGGCAACCACTATCACCAATATATTTAAGTGAACCTATAGAATAGCAATATCGGCATATTGCATATTTTATTTAAAATTGAAGACAAATTGTTAATGATATTATCTTTCATATGTTTAAATTGAAAATAAAGAAAACACTATTTTCATTTATATATGGAAAACATTTTTATTTTCTATAATTTTAATTTTATTGTAAATAAAAGAATCAACAAAAGAATCAACTGTAAACTTCAAAAGCTCCAACCGGTAGTTGCTTGTCCTCAAGTGCAGTGAATTTCTATATTTCTATATAGATTTTTTGTACGAATGTACTTTTAAAGTAAAACAAATAAAAACATTTTTAGTGAAATATTTTTGTATATGACTAATGTCCATTATATTGCTTATCTCAATAAT